AAGGTCTACAGGTAGGTGACAGACAAAATGTCACATCCTTTTGAGTTACTGATTAAGCTTTGCAAAGGAGGCAGTCAGATAAGCATCTATCTCAGTGAGCAGAGGGCTGACTGTGAACAGAATGGGAAGCAGGTTTGCCCTGAGCACTTCCCAGCCTGACTTTTCCCTTTAACTTAGTGATTCTGGGGCTGTGATCTTTCCCTTTTACATCCAAATCTTCATTTTGATTATTTTCTGGGTTTTTGTTTGTGTAGATTCACGTTTCTGCCTCGAATTTCCTCTGGCTGAGGAAACATGTTAACATGCCTTCTAATGCATTTCTACTGGGCTGAGTAATCAAGATGTTCCTTGTCTTAAAAACTGTGTCAGTTTGTGTTTATTATAGAGACAATTGTGAGCCCATTGAAAGAAATACTTCTCTCAAAATAGTTTGTTTGCTTTTTTCTAACATCAACATTTCTTACAGTTCCTATCTCTGTACCAAAACTCCTCATCTTCTCATCCTAATATCAACTTTTCCTATAGTGATTTGCATCTGTGTTCCCTCCTAAATCTCATGTTGAATTGTAACCCCCAATGTTGGATGTGGGACCTGGTACCAGGTGATTGGATCATTGGGGTGGAATTCTCAGGAATGGTTTAGCACCATCCCTGTGGTGCTGTTCTCATGATAGTGAGTTCTCAGGAGATGTGGTTGTTAAGCAGTGTGTAGCACCCCCTCCCCCATCTCTCTTCCTCCTTTTTTTTGCCACATGAGGGGCAAGCTTCTCCCTTGCCTCTTCAATGATTGAAAGTTTCCTGGGGCCTCACAGCCATGCTTTCTGTACAGCCTACAGAGCCATGAGCCAATTACAGATACCTAAATATGTGGAACCAGCTTTTGCATTGGGTAACAGGCAGAAGTTGAAACAGTTTGGAGGGGCTCAGAGGAAGACAGAAAGATGAAGGAAAATTGAAATTTCCTAAAGACTTGTTTAATGTGATGTCACTAGATGGCTGATAGTGATATGAATACTGAAGACCAGGCTGAGGAGTTCTCAGATGCAAATGAGGAACTTATTAGGAAGTTGAGTAAAGGTCACCTTTGTTATAGATCAGCAAAGAAAACTGATGGCATTGTGGCCCTGCCCTAGGGATCTGTGGAAGTTTTGAACTTGAGAGTGGTAATTTAGGGTTTCTGGCAAAAGAAGTTTCTAAGCAGCATAGCATTCAAGATGGGGCCTGGTTGCTTCCAACAGCCTAGGTTAATGTGTATCAACAACAAAAAATGATGTAAAACAGGCACTTATATTTAAAAGGAAAGCAGAGTGTAAAGGTTTTGAAAATTTGCAGCCTGGCCACGCGATAGAAAAGAACCCATTTTCTGGGGAGGAATTCAAGCTAGCTACACAAATCTGCTTAAGTAAGAAGGAGCTGAATGGTAATAGCCAAGACAATGGGGAGGCCTCAAAGGCATTTCAGAGACTCTGCAGTAGCCCTACCTCCCATCATAGGCCAAGTAGCCTAGGAGGAGAGAATGTTTTCATGGGCCACAACCAGGGCCCCACTGCCCTGTACAGTGTCTGGACACTGCTTCTGATGTCCTGGCTGCTGCAGTGCCAGCCTCAGCCCAAACTGTCCTGATACAGCCTCAGCTACTGGTTCAGAAGGTGCAAACCATGATCCTTGGTGGCTTGCACTTGGTGTTAAGCCTGTGAGTACACAGAGCAAGATTTGAGGCTTCTGAGCCTCAGCCTACATTTCAAAGCATGTATGGAAAAGCATAGCTGTCCAAGCAGAAGCCTACTGCAGGGGTGTAGTCCTCATGGAGAACCTTTACTAGGGCAGTGCAGAAGAGAAATATACTGTTGGAGCCGCCACACAGAGTCCACACTGGAGCACTGCCTAGTGGAGCTGTGAGAGGAGGGCCAGCATCCTCCAGAATGCAGAATGGTAGATCCACTGACAGCCTGTAATTCTGCCTCGAAAAGGCATAGGTACTCAGTGCCAGGCCACTGGGAGCTGAACCACGCAAAGTCACACAATTGGAGCTGCCCAAGTCTTTGGGAGCCCAACCCTTTATACCAGTATACCTCGGGTGTAAGACATGGAACTGAAAGAGATAAGTTTGGAGATTTAAGATTTAAAGACTTCCCTCCTGGGTTTCAGACTTGCACAGACCAGTAGCCCTTTCTATTGCCTGATTTATCACAAGTATTTACCCAATGCTTATGCCTCCATTGTACCTCAGAAGTAATTAACTTGTTTTTTATTTTATAGGCAGATAGGCAGTAGGGATTAGCCATGTCTCAGATGAGACTTTGGATTGGGGACTTTTGAGTTAATGCTTCAATGAGTTAAGACTTTGGGGTACTGCTGGGATTGTCTTTTGCAAAGTGTGAAGACATGAGATTTAGAAGGGGCCAGGGCAGAATTTTAAGATTTGGATCTGTGTCTCCACCCAAATCTCAGGTTGCCTTGTAATCCCCAATGTTGGAGGTGGGGCCTGGTGGGAGGTGACTGTATCATGGGGGTGGAATTCTGTTGGAATTAAATAGTAGAAATAAACCACTACTTAAAATGGAATATTTTAGTAAATCTGAGAGAAAGAAGAAAAGACTTAGAAAATATTTAAAATATTGAAAATGCTTTAAAAGCAAGTCAAAAAATCAATCGGAAAACAATTGTATGATAGAATGAAAGATGGCACATGAAATCATTTTTCAAAATTATCTACTAGGCTACTCAATATTTTCATAAAATATTCATGATTCCTTATTTGAAATTATTTATAAGAGAATGATAGAAAATGTTTGACCCCAACACAGATAAATATGTGGAAAAATCCACACCTAAATTTTATCAAACACTGTATCCATATTATGATATTACAGGTATTAGGGTATAATCTGATTACTGCTATTCACATGTTTCATACCTTTTATGTGTCTTCCATGTTGTTCTGCAATAAATAGGAATTATGCTCATGGTAAGAAAAAAGAAGATATCAACAAATATGTATTTTTCTTTAACAGAATAGGGGAGGGACAGCAGGTGGGGGGAAGGGGAGAGGGATAGCCTGGGGAGAAATGCCAAATGTGGGTGAAGGGGAAGATGGCAGCAAAACACACTGCCATGTGTGTACCTATGCAACTATCTTGCATGATCTGCAAATGTACCCCAAAACCTAAAATGCAATTAAAAAAAAATAGAAAAAAAAAAAGAATAACTAGGAAAAGTATAAAATTTGTTTTTGGCAGTTATTTTTCATCTTTTGAGCTCCCTAAATCTATATATAATCAGCCTGTTCAGTTAGAATTCTTCCCTTTCCATGTTCCTGACTCCTAACTCTAATGAATGTTAATTTCTTATAAATTATGAGGATAAACTAATACATTCACAATAACAATGTGACAAAATTATAATATATCAAGGAAAGTCCAGAATGAATACTAAACCATTAAATTAGGTTTTCCTCATGTGCTAGGACTACAACTCAGATAAAAACAGACTGAAAACATGTTCACAGAACTGACATCTTATTTAAACACACTGATAGTTTTTACAAAGTAACTAGTAAAACTTTTGGTATACACAAAAGTGCTAAATTATATGTAGTTGTTTATGCTGGATATATGTCATTTGACATATTACATATATTTTAAGTATTCTGTGGTTTGTCTTTTATCTCATTAATCTTATTTGAAGACAAATTTTAATTTTTTCAAAGTCTATTTTGTCAACTGATTTTGAGTCAATTTTATTTTTATATTTTGATATCATATGTAATATTTTAATGGTCAAAAATATTTTCTCATTTTTTTCATAAAATTTTATACTTTGACATTTTGGCCTAAAATTATGTTAATTTCTGTATATGGTTTGAAATAAGGATTAAGGTTCATATTTTTCATATGTATATCACATTTCACAGAATCTTAATGTTTAAATACTGTTATTTCTTTATTGGGTTGACTTTGCAGCTTAGCCAAAGTGAATGGAGGACATATATGGATATTTCTGGTCCTTCTATTGTATTGGTCCATCCTTTCTCCAGAAGCACAGTGTGTTGACTATTCTAGTTATGTAGTAAATACAGAAAATAGAAGCGTAAATTCTCCAACTTTGTGATGCTCTTTCAGATGGTTTTGCATATTCTTGTTTATTTGCCTTTTATATCAGCTTTAGAATCATCATGCTAATATCTGCAAATATTTTTCTGAGACATTGGTTGCAGTTGCATTAATGTTATAGATCAATAGAACTCTATAAACCCATAGATTTGAATCTTTCAATCCATAAATGTGATACTCCTCTCCACTTAATGGGTAATTACTTGATTTTCTTAGTGTATATGCTTTTAGCATACGGATGTTTTGGGTTTTCTATTAATACTGTAACAAATTGCTACTCATTTAGTTGTTTACAACAACCCAAATTTATTATATTAGAGTCTAACGGTCAGGAATCTAAATTGGGTTTATCTCAGGGGAAGTTAAGGCATTGGCAGGGCTTTGTTCCCTCTGTTGGTTCTAGAGGAGAATCTACTTGATTGTGTTTTTTAGATTCTAGTTCCTTTCTCCATTCTTTGGTTCATGGCCTCTACCACCTCCTTTTGTCAATACTATAGCATTTCCCAGTGTTTCTCTTATTCTAACCACCTTTCTCCAATTATAGGGCCCTTGTAATTGTGTAGGGCTCACGTAGACAATCTAGGATAATCCCAGTCTAAAAATATTTAATCATATCTGCTATATTTTTTTCTACCATACAATGTGATGTTTTTGAGTTCAGGGTTTACTCTGTAAACATCTTTTGGTGGGGGATATTATTCTTCCTACCACAGAGATCTAGTAATTTTTCCATAGAGTTTTACTGAACTATTTTATTTTTATATTATTTTATGTTTTAATTAGCTTGATTTAATTATTGCATAGTATATACATATATCAAAACATCATGTTGTATACCTAAGATATATACAATTTTTGTTTGAGACCAACCTGGTCAACATGGTGAAACCCTGTCTCTACCAAAAATACAAAAATTAGCCTGGCATGGTGTCAGGTACCTGTAATCCCAGATACTTGGGAGGCTGAGGCTGGAGAACCACTTGAACCCAGGAGGCAGAGGTTGAAGTGAGCAGAGATCACGCCATTGCACTCCAGCCTGGGTGACAAAAGCAAGACTCCACCTAAAAAAAAATACACACACACACACACACACACAATTTTTGCATCAGGTAAACCTTAAGAAATTGAAAGAAAATGGACTAATATGAAAAAGTATTTCACTGATAGAAAAAACATAAATACCGGTAAATAGACTACTCTCTTTGAGAAATTATAAAAGAGCTGTAACAAGTAAACTCTCTTACTGTTCTTTCATTTTAGGATATCACTTAAAGTTACATAAGTAAACATGTATTCACTATAATATAATTTTAGAAATTGTAGATTAAAAACAGTTATCACTTTGGAAAATACTATGTACATACAGTATTTCCAACTGATAAAAGTTTTTTACTGTTCAGAATGCCACCTCCCACCCCAAAAAAACAAAAATTCCATGTATTCGGTTAATACAGTTGTTTTCATTATGCAAAAGATACTTGAACAATTTTTTGTTTTTACTTCAGACATTAATGGTCTTATACATATTCATACATTCTGAATCTTAAAAAAAACTAAAATCCTGCCTGTAACCATATAGAATTTGTTTTTTATAGTTTCTCCCTTTTGGTGTATCTGCTATAGCCTCTATTTCAGTTGGAATCAAAATTGTATTAATCACATACTATTCATAACATTTTTTTCATGTTTCCACAATATAAGTAGCTTATTTATAACCTACTTCCCAAACATGTATAGTAGTTTCATGCTGCAGATTGCCTCACACAGTCTGGTGCTTCTATTTTTCTTGCGCGTGCTCGTACGTTCGTGCGCTCACGTGCGCGCTCGCTCGCTCTCGCTCTGTGTGTGTGTGTGTGTGTGTGTGCACGTGCACGTGCATGTGTTTTCCTCTATCTCTCTCCATTAGGTTAAGAGTTAAGAAGTGTCACCACAAGCAAATGGGGAGAGAAGCCTAGGAGAGATTTCTTGAGTACGATTCTATCATACCCTTCCATTTGTCAAATATATTCTTAAAAAATGGGGAAAAAAGTAATTAGAGTAAAATATTCTTGGATGGACTATACTTAACTCTTCATAAATTGGTGACATAAAGCTTTGAAAGGTATTTTAAATGTCTGTAGTCCGGGTGCAGTGTCTTATGCCTGTAATCCTAGTACTTTGGGAGGTGGAGGCGGGTGGATCACAAGATCAGGCGATCAAGACCATCCTGGCCAACGTGGTAAAACCCCGTCTCTTTAAAGAAAAAAAAAAAAAAAAGAAAAAAGTCTATCAGAAATGGACATTGTAGATCATTAATGAAGGGACCTGAAAGGCAGGAGAGTCTTTTGGGATCTCTAAAGGAGGAGCCTTGCAAATGATGACTAGTTGATAGGTGAGAAAAGTTTGGAGAATTTGGGAATCTGGAGTAAAACCTCTCAGCTGACGAACAATGGCTGTCTTCTATACAATGTATTTCTCACATGAGCCAAGCCTCAGTTAGCAAAGAGAGATAAATTCTTAAAGAACCTGAGTGGATGTGTTTTCTCAGGAGTCCACTGTTCCTATGTATAATCTCCTACAAGGCACAAAAAGTTCCTTGAAGTAGCCCCGCACTGAAGAGAGGGTGCACAGGATCCAAAACAGGCATCGCTGTGCTTGCTGCTATAGCCCCATCCCCAGGGACACCACGTGCGCAGTACATGCTGTACATTACTCTTCTCAAAAAAGTGACATCATATTTTAGTTCACATGAATGCCACCTTCTTGAGAAAGGCACTGCACGCTGAATGGCTGAATGTGGCATCCCAGACCAAATGCTCCCCATGCATGCAGTTTTTTTTCAAGTCTTTATAGGAGTATTATCCATTTGCATGGCCAGCAAGACTTATGCCAAGGAACTAGGCAACTTGTAGCCCTACACGCTCCCGTTTTCATCCTTCCCTGAATGAGATGTTAACATGTAGATTTTTGTTTCATTTTGTTGAAATCCCAGCTATCGAGGAGGCTGAGGCAGGAGACGCTCTTGAACCTGGGAGGAAGAGATTTCATTCCACATAGGTCATGCCACTGTACTCCAGCCTCAATTACAATGTGAGACCCTGTCTCAAAAAAAAAAAAAACCCCGAAATCAAATAGTAAACAACTTAAATTTACTGGTTAAGTAGAAGAAACCAACCACTCCACCATAGCGTTCTGTTGTCCTCAAACTCCAGCTGTGCTGCAGAAACCTAAATTCCAACAGAAAAAAAAAAATACAAAGAATACTACAACCTGGATGCAAAGAAGTAGAGAAGAGTCCCAGGGTACCAGGTTGGAGAGAGCAGAAATTTCATTTCATCTTCAGGCTATGGAGTAGAAAGAACCCATAGAAATTAATATGAGAGACAGACAAGACAGATGATGGGCTGGAAGACAAGAAATGCTATTTAATTTCTCTTAGCTCCATGCTTCTTTATGGTTCATTTATTTGGGCTCTGTGTGTGTATGTGTGTTGTTAACAATAGCTCTAAGCTTTTTAAACTCGAAGATTTAGTGTTTGCATTAATATATGTTCTGTCCTCTTACTTTGACCCACCTTCCACATAGGTCTTCATGTTTAAAATGTTTGTTTTAGAAAGTACATCGTTGTTTCTTATTTTTACGTAATTTGACAATCTGTCTTAATTGAAGCACTTTGATCATTTATATCAGTATGATTATTTATATACATGCATTTAAATCTACTGGCTTTCTAGTTGTTTTCCAAGTTTCATCCTTTTGTTCCTAAATTTCCTGTTTTTCTACCTCATGGTGTGTTTAGTATTTTTATTACTCAGTTATATTTTTTCTACTCGTTGGCTTATTAGTGATGTCATGTTAAAAAAAAACCTTTTGCTGTAGGGTTTACAAAGTTTATACTTAATTCATCACACTCTATCTTCAAAGAATATTATACTAGATTATGCAGTGAAAAAATCATTTGATACTCTGCTTACCGTTCACTCCATCCTTTGTCATGTTTGTTAATTATTTTTATTAACTTTCTAATCCCCACACACATATTTGTTTCCACTGTTAATTATTATCGACTGATTAATAAAATAATAAAATATCCTCTGTGTGAACCCCAAAACTTTGAGACAGGTCTCAGTAGTAATTTAGAAAGTGAATTTTGCCAAGGTTGAGGCTGTGGCACAGCCTCAGGAGGTCCTGGTGACAGGTGCCCAAGATGGTCAGAGCACAGCTTGGTTTTATACATTTTAGGGAGACATGAGACATGGAACAACATATGTAAAATGAACATTTGTTTAGTCTGCTCCGGAAAGGAAAGACAATTGCAACCAAATTGGGACACCTCAAAGTGGGGCAGAAGCTTTCAGGTCACAGGTAGGTGAGAGACAAACAACTGCATTCTTTGAGTTACTGATTAACCTTTGCAAAGGAGGCAATCAGATATGAATTTATCTCAGTGATCACAGGGATGATCAATGGGAGGCAAGTTTACCCTAAGCAGTTCCCAGCTTGAATTTTCCCTTTTACTTAGTGATTTGGGGGCCCGAGATATTTCCCTTTCACATCCATATCTACGTCTTTACCATTTTCGGGGTTTTTAATTTGTTTGTATAGATTCACAATTCTGCCTGTTATCAAAATATGTTAACATGTCCTGTAATGCATCTCTACTTGGGTAAATAATCGAAAGTTCCTTTTGTGAAAAAATAATCATGTCATTTTTGTGTTTATTATAATGATAACTGTGAGCCCATGAAAAGAAATATTTTTCTCTCAAAATAGTTTGTTGGCTTTTTTCTAACATAAACCTTTCTTACACTTTTTATCTCTGTTCTGAAATTACTCATTTGCTCATCCATGGTGCCTGCTCTTTCCAATAGTGATATTGTTTGGATCTGTATCCTCATGCACATCTCATGTTGAGTAGTAATCCCTAATGTTGGAGGTGGGGCCTGGTGGGAGGTGATTGGATCACGGGGGTGGAATCTCATGAATGGTCTAGCATCATCCCTTTGGCGCTGTTCTCATGATAATGAGTTCTCAGGAGATGTGGTTGTTAAAAAGTGTGCAGCACCCCACCCCCATCTCTCTTCCTCCTGTTCTGACCATGTGAGGGGCTAGGGCCTCCCCTAACGCCTCTGTGATTGAAAGTTTCCTGAGGCCTCCCATCCATGCTTTCTGTACAACCTACAGAACCACGAGCCACTTGTCGAACCAGCTTTTGCATTGGGTAACAGGCAGAGGTTGAGACCGTTTGGAGGGCACAGAGGAAGACCGAAAGATGAAGGAAAAGGTGAAATTTCCTAAAGACTTTTTTAATGGAATTTCACTAGATGACTGATAATGATATGAACACTGAATACCAGGATAAGGAGGTCTCAGATGGAAATGGAGAACTTATTGGGAAGTGGAGTAAAGGTCACTTTTCTTATGGATTAGCAAAAAACTGGTGTCATTGTGCCCCTGCCCTAGGCATCTGTGGAAATCTTGATTTTGGAACTGGTGATATAGGGTTTCTGGTAGAAGAAATTCCTAAGCAGCACAGCATTCAAGGTGGGGCCTGGCTGCTGCTAATAGCCTATCCTCATATGTGTTAACAGAAAAAAAAAAAGATGTAAAACTGGCACTTATATTTAAAAGGAAAGCAGAGTGTAAAGATTTTGAAAATTTGCAGCCTAGCCACATGGTAGAAAAGAACAGCCTATTTTCTGGGGAGGAATTCAAGCTAGCTGCCAAAATCTGCTTAAGTAACAAGTGGCTGAATGGTAATAGCCAAGACAATGGGGAGGCCTCAAAGGCATTTCAGAGACCTCTGCAGTAGCCCCTCCTTCCATCACATGCCAAGAACCGTAGGAGGGGAGAGTGCTTTCATGGAACACACCAGGGACCCACAGCCCTGTACAGTGTCTGGATGGTACTCCTGATATCCTGGCTGCTCCAGTGCCTGCCTCAGCTCAAAGTGTCCCCCATACAGCTTTAGCCACTGATTCAGAAGGTGCAAACCATGATACTTGGTGGCTTCCATTTGCTGTTAAGCCTGTGGGTGCACAGAGCAAAAGTTGAGGCTTGGGAGCCTCAGGCTTGATTTCAGAGGATGTATGGAAGAGCATGGATATCCAGGAAGAAGCTTACTGCAAGTGTGTAGTCCTCATGGAGAACCTTTACTAGGGCAGTGCAGAAGGGAAATGTGGTATTGAAGCCATCACACAGAGTCCACACTGGAGCTGAAGGAAGAGGGCCAACATCCTCCAGATCCCAGAACGTACCTCCACTGACAGCTTATAATTGGGCCTTGAAAAGACATAAGTACTCAATGTCAGCCCATTGGGGGCTGAACCCTGCAAAGTCACAGGATTAGAGCTATCCAAGGCTTTGGGAGCTCAACTGTTCCAACATTGAGCCCTGGATGTGCAACATGGACTCAAAGGAGATTATTTTGGAGTTTTGAGATTTAAAGACTTCCCTGCTGGGTTTCAGACTTGCACAGGACTTATAGCCCCATTCTATTGGCTGATTTCTCATGAGCATTTACCCAATGCTTATGCCTCCATTGTATTTTAGGAGTAATTAACTTTTTTTTTATTTTACAGGCCAATAGACAGAAGTGATGAGCCCTGTCTCAGATGAGACTTTGGATTGGGGACTTTTGAGTTAATGCTTCAATGAGTTAAGACTTTGGGGTACTGCTGTGATTGTCTTTTGCAACGTGAGAAAGACATGAGATTTGGGAGGGGCCAGGGCAGAATTATAAAGTTTGGATCTGTGTCCCCACCCAAATCTCAGGTTGAGTTGTAATCCCCAATGTTGGAGGTGGAGCCTCTCGGGAGGTGACTGGATCGTGGGGGTGGAATTCTGTTGGAATTAAATAGTGAAAATAAACCACTACTTAAAATGGAATATTTCAGTAAATCTGAGAGAAAAAGAAAAGATTTAGAAAACATTGAAAATATTTAAAAGGCTATAAAAGCACCTCAAAAAGCAATCAAAAAATTATATGATAGAATGAAAAATGGCACATAAAATTATGTTTCAAAATTATTTACTATGGTACTCAGTGTTTTTATAAAATATTCATGATGCATTATATGGAATCATTTATAAGAGAATGGTAGAATATTGTTGATTCCAACCTAAACCTTAATTATAAATACAGATAAATGTGTAGAAAGATCCACATCTAAATTTTATCAAACTGTATCCACATTAGGATGTTACTGGTGTTAGGGTGTTATTTCATTACTGCTATTCATATGTTTCATACCTTTTATGTGTTTTCCAAGTTGTTCTGCAATAAATAGGAATCATACTCATCAGAAAAAAAAGGTATCAACAAAATTGCATTTTTCATTGACAGGATTCTGATAAAAGTATAACTAGGAAAAGTGTAAAATTTGTTTTTGGCAGTTAATTTTCCTCTGTTGAGCTCCCGAAATCTATAGCTCTCAGCCTGTTCAGTTAGAGTTCCTGCCTTTCCATGTTCCTGACACTAATAAATGATAATGTATTATAAATTATGAGGATAAACCAGTACATTTACAATAATGATGTGATAAAATTATACTACAGCAAGTAAGGTCCAGAATGAATATGTAACCATTAAACCAGGTTTTTCCTGTGCTAGGACTAAATCACAGATCAAAACAGACTCAAAACATGCTCATAGAACTGACATTTTATTAAAGAACACTGACAATTTTTAAAAAGTGGTAAAATTCTTGGTATACACAAGAGTGCTAAATTATGTGTAGTTCTTTATGCTGGATATATGTTATGCATCACAAGATTAAATTACATATATTTTAAGTATTGTGTAGTTTGCCTTTTATCTCTATGGGCATACTTGAAGACAAATTTAAATGTTTTCAAAGTCTGTTTTATCAACTTATTTTTAATCAATTTTGTTTTTATATTTTGATATGTAATAATTTTATGGCCCAAAATATTTTCTCAAATTATTCATAAAATTTTACAATTGGACATTTTGGCCTAAGATTGTGTTAATTTCGGTATATGGGGTGAAATAAGGATTAAGGTTCATATTTTTCGTATATGTATCACATTTCACAGGATCTTATTGTTTATTATTATTTCTCAATTAGATTGACTTTACAACTTAGTCAAAATTAATTGGGGACATGTATGGATATTTCTAGTCCTTCTATTATATTTCTGTATCCTTTTGTCTGAACCACAGTGCATTGGCCAATCTAGTTATACAGTAAATCTAGAAAATAGACGTGTAAATTCTCCAACTTCGTGATTCTCTTTCAGATTATTTTGCATATTCTAGTTTTCCTTTTATATCAGCTTTTGAATCATCAGGCTAATATCTACAAATATTTTTCTGAGACATTGGTTGCAATTGCATTAGCTCTACAGATCAATATAACTCTATATATCTATAGATTTGAATCCTTAAATACATAAATATAATACTCCGCTCCACTTATTAGTAATTACTTGATTTTCCTTGGTGTATTTATGCTTTTAGCATACAGATGTTTTTTGTTTTCTATTGATACTGTAACAAATTGCCACAAATTTAGTTGTTTACAACAACCCAAGTTTATAGAGTCCAAGGTTCAGGAATCTAAATTGGGTTTATCTCAGGGAACATTAAGGCATTGGCAGAGCTTTGTTCCCACTGTTGGTTCTAGAGGAGAATCTACTTGATTGTGTTTTTTAGATTCTAGTTCCTTTCTCCATTCTTTGGTTCATGGCCTCTACCACCTCCTTTTGTCAATACTATAGCATTTCCCAGTGTTTCTCTTATTCTAACCAGCTTTCTCCAATTATAGGGCCCTTGTAATTGTGTAGGGCTCACGTAGACAATCTAGGATAATCCCAATCTAAAAATATTTAATCATATCTGCTATTTTTCTTTCTGCCATAAAATGTGATGTTTTTGAGTTCAAGGGTTACTCTGTAAACATCTTTTGGAGGGGGGCTATTCTGCCTACCACAGAGATCTTGTAATTTTTCCATAGAGTTTTACCAAAGTATTTTATGTTTATATTGTTTTCTGTTTCAATTAGCTTGATTTAATTATTGCACAGTATATACATATATCAAAACATCATGTTGTATACCTTAAATATATACAATTTTTGTTTGAGATCAGCCTGGCCAACATGGCAAAACCCATCTCTACTAATACTACGAATATTAGCTGGGTATGGAGTCAGGTGCCTGTAATCCCAGATACTTGGGAGGCTGAGGCAGAAGAATCATTTGAACCTGGGAGGTGGAGGTTGAAGTGAGCAGAGATCATGCCATTGCACTCCATCCCTGGTGACAAAAGCAACATTCCTGATGTATATGTGTGTGTGTGTGTGTGTGTGTGTGTGTGTGTACACACACATATGTATACATGTATATGTGTATATATATATACACACATATACAATTATATACATATATACACACACACGTGTATATATATATACACTCAATTTTTATATCAGGTAAACCTTAATAAATTGGAAGACAAAAGGCTAATATAATAAAGTATTTCACTGATAGAAAAACCATAAATACAAGTGAATATACTATTTTTGAGAAATCATAAAAGAGTAATATCAACTAACTTTACTTTGATTTTATGATATCACTTAAAGTTATGTAAGTGAATATACATTCACTATAATACTGTTTTAGAAATTATAGGCTAAAAAGAGATATCACCTTGGAAAGTCTTAGGTACATACAGTATTTCCAACTGACAGAATTTTTACTGTTCTGAATGCTACCCCCTACCCCAAAAAACAAAGATTCTATGGATTCTATTAGTACAGTTCTTTTCATTATGGTAAAGATACTTGAACTGATTTTTGCTTTTTTACTTTCAGACATTAATGGTCTTATAAATATTCTGAATCTAAGAAAACATAAACTAAAATCCTGCCTGTAATCATATAGAAATTGTTTTTTATACTTTCTCCCTTTTGGTGTATCTGCTATAGCGTCTATTTCAGTTGGAATCAAAATTGTATTAATCACTTACTATTTATAAAATTTTTTTACATATTTCCACAATATAAGCAGCATATTTATAACCTCCTACCCAAACATGCATACTAGTTTCATGCTGCAGATGGCCTCACACACTTTGGCGGTTGTCTTTCTCTTGGTTTCACGTGCGTGTGCGCTCTGTCTCTTTCTCTTTCTCTCTCTCTCTGTGTGTGTGTGTGTGTGTGTGTGTGTGTATTTCCCTCCATGCTGCCCCATTAGGTTAAGACTTAAGTAGTGTTACCACAAGAAAATGGGGAGAGAAGCTTAGGAGGTATTTCTTGAGTATCGATTCTATCATACCCTTCCATTCTTCAAATATATACTTGAAAATGGGGAAAAAAGATTGAAAAGAATGAGATAAGCACGGTTGGACTATGCTTAACCCTTCATTAATGAGTGACATAAAGCTTTGAAAGGGATTTTAAAAGTCGATCAGAAAATGTTTTTGTCTTTGAGTGAAAATGGACACTGTGGATCAGCAATGAAGGTATTTAAGAATCAGGAGAGTCTTTTGGGAGCTAGAAAGGAGGAGCCTTGCAAATGATGACTAGCTGATAGGTGGGAAAAGTTTAGAGAATCTGGGAATCTTGAGTAAAACCTCTCAGTTAACAAACAATGGCTGTGGCCGCTATACAGTGTCTTTCTTGTTTGAGCCAAGCCTCATATGGCAAAAATAAATTCTTAAAGAACCTGAGTGGATGTGATTTCTCAGGAGTCCACTGTTCTTATGTATAGTCTCCTAGAAGGCACAAAACGTTCCTTGAAGTAGCCCCACACTTAAGAGAGGGCGCACAGGACCCAAAATAGGCATCGCTGTGCTTGCAGCTACAGCCCCATCCCCAGGGACACCACGTGCACAGTACATGCTGTACATTACTCTTCTCAAGAAGGTGTCATCATATTTTAGTTCACATGAATGACACCTCCTTGTGAAGGGCACTGCACGCTGAATGGCTGAGTATGGCATCCCGGACCAAATACTCCTTATTCATGCGGTTTTTATTTAAGTCCTTATAAGTGTTTGCCTTCACATTGCCGCCAAGATTTATGCCAGGGAACTAGGTAACTTGTAGCCCGAGCGCTCACCTTTTCATCCAGCCCTGAGTGAGATGTTAACATGTAGATTTTTGTTTCATTTTGTTGTTATCCCAGCTACTGAAGAGGCTGAGGCAGGAGAAGCCCTTGAACCTGGGAGGAGGAGGTTTCATTCCACATAGGTCATGCCACTGTACTCCAGCCTCAATTACAGTGTGAGACCCTGTCTCAGAAAAAAACAAACAAAATCAAACAGTAAACAAATTAAAATTACTGGTTAAGTAGAAGAAACCAACCACTCACCAAAGCGTTCTGTTGTCCTGAAAGTCCAGCTGTGCTGCAGAAACCTAAATTCCAACAGAAAAAAACAAAGAATACATTAACCTGGATGCAAAGAAGTGGAGAGAGGGTTACTAGGCTGGAGGGAGCAGAAATTTCATTATTTTTTCAGGCTATGAAATGGAAAGGACCCATAGAAATTAATGGGAGAGACAGACAAGACAGATAATGGGCTGGAAGACGATAAATGCTATTTAATTTCTCTTAGCTGCATGCTGCTTTATAGTTCATTTATTTGTGCCGTGTGTGTGTGGGGGAGGGTTAATAGCTCTGAGACTTTTTAACTCTAAAATTTAGTGTTTGCATTAATATATTTTCCATACTTTTACCCAACTTTTACAAAAGTCTTCATGTTTAAAATGTTTTAGAAAGTACATCGTTGTTTCTTATTTTTATGTAATTTGACAATCTCTGTCTTAATTGAAGCACTTTGATCATTTATATTAATATAATTATATACATGCATTGAAATCTACTGGCTTTCTAGCTTTTTGCTATGTTTCATCCTTTTCTTATTCCTAAATTTCCTGTTTTTCTACCTTATAGATTTACTATTTTTATCGTTCAGCTATATTTTCTCCACTCTTGACTTATTAGTTAGGTCCCTCTAAAAAAATAGCAGTTGCTCTAGGGTTTACAAAGTTCATATTTAATTCATCACAGTCTATCTTCAGAGAATATTATACTATTTTATGTACAAGTTAAAAAATCTTATAGTAGGCTTACAATTCACCCCATCCTTTGTCATATTGTTAATTACTTTTATTAATGTTCTAATCCCCACACACATGTTGGTTTACACTGTTAATTTTATTGACTGATTAATAAAATAATAAATTGGCCTTTGTGTGAAGCCCCAATATTTGAGATGGGTCTCAAGCAATTTAGAAAGTGAATTTTGCCAAGAATGAGGATGCGCACCCCTGACACAGCCTCAGGAGGTCCTAGTGACAGGTGCCCAAGGTGGTCAGAGCACAGCTTGGTTTTATACATTTTAGGGAGACATGAAACATCAGTCAACATAGGTAAGATGAACATTGGTTTGGTCTTGTCCACAAAGTTGGGACAGCTGTAAGCAAAAGTGGGACACCTCAAAGTTGGGGGGGTTCTGGTCAAAGATAGGTGACAAAGGATTGTATTCTTTTGAGTTACTAATTAAGCTTTCCACAGAAGGAAATCAGATAAGCATATATCTCAGTAATCCAGAGGGATGACTATGAATAGAATGGGAGACAGGTTTACCCTAAGTAGTTCCCAGCTTGAATTTTCCCTTAACTTAGTGATTTCGGGGCCGAGATATTTCCCTTTCACATCCATATCTACATCTTCACCATTTTCTGGGTTTGTAATTCGTTTGTGTAGATTCACGTTTCTGCCTGTTATTTTTTTCTGCCTGAGAAAATGTGTTAACATGTCTGGTAATACATTTCTACTGGGTTGAATAATTGAAATGTTATTTGTCCGAAAAAATTATCATGTCATTTTTGTGTTTATTATAGGGATAATTGTAAGCTCACCGAAAGAAATATTTCTCTCTCAAAAGAGTTTCCAATTTCTAACATAACCATTTGTTACAGTTCCTGTCTCAGTGCTGAAATTCCTTATTTGCTCATCCGTGATGTCTACTTTTTCTAATAGTGATACGGGTTGCATCTGTGTTCCCACCCACATCTCACGTTGAATTGTAATCCCCAATGTTGGAGGTGGCGCCTGGTGGGAGGTGATTGGATCATGGGGGTGGAATTCTCAGGAATGCTCTAGCACCATCCCTGTGGTGCCATTCAAATGTCAGTGAGTTCTCAGGAGATGTGGTTGTTAAAAAGTGTGTAGCACCCCCTCCCCCATCTCTCTTCCTCGTTTTCTGGCCATTTGAGGGGCAAGCTCCTCCCTTGCCTCTTTCATAATGGAAAGTTTCCTGAGGCCTCCCAGCCATGATTTCTGTACAACCTACAGAATCATGAGCTAATTACACATACCTAAAAATGTGGAACCAGCATGTGCACTGGGTAACAGGCGGAGGGCTCAGAGGAAGACAGAAAGGTGAAGGAAAAGTTGAAATTTCTTAAAGACTTGTTTAATGGGTTGTGACTGGATGGTTGATAGTGATATGGACACTAAACACCAGGTGGAGGAGGCCTCAGATGGAAATGAGGAACTTATTGGGAAGTGGAGTAAAGGTCACTTTGTTATGGATTAGCAAAAAACTGGTAGTATTGTGCCCATGCCCTAAAGATTTGGGGAATTTTGAACTTGAGAGTGATGGTTGAGTGTTTGGTAGAAGAAATTCCTAAGCAGCACAGCATTCGGGGAGGGGGGGGCCTGGTTGCTTCTAATAGCCCATGCTCTTGTCTGTGAAAAAAAAAAGTGATGTGATCATTGCATAATGTATACATATAGCAAAACATGTTATGTCAGGTAAACCTTAAGAAATTAGAAGAAAATTGGCTGAGTAATACAAGAAAGTATTTCACTGAAAGAAAAACTATAGATACCAGTGAATATATTATTGTTTTTGAGCAATCATGAAAGAGCTGTGTCAACTAAATCTTATGTTTCTTAGATTTTTGCATATCACTTGAAGTTATATAAGTAAACACGTATTTACTATTACATAATTTTAGAAATTATACACTAAAGAGTTACTACATTCAAAAATTCTATGTACATACAGTATTTCCAACTGACATAATTTTTTACTGTTGAGAATGCTGCTCCATACCCCAAAATGCAAAGATTCTATGTATTCTATTAGTATGATTGTTTTCATTTGGAAAAGATGTTCCAACTGATTCTTTTATGTTATGACAGTAATGGTCTTATACACATACGTATATTATGAATCTAAAAAAGCATAAACTAAAACTTTGCCTGTAACCATATAGAAATTGTCTCTTCTAGTTTATTAGTTTATTACTTTCAGTGTATCTGCTGTAGCCTCTAATTCAATTGGAATCAGAATTGTAGTAATCACTATTTATAATATTTTTTACACATTTCCAGAATATAAGTAGCTTCTTTATAACCTACTACCATAACATGCATACTAGTTTCGTGCTGCAGATGGTCTCACCCAGTCTGGCACTTGTCTTTCTCTTGCTCTCTCTCTCTCTCTTTCTCTGTGTGTGTGTGGGGGGGGGGTGCGCACGTGTGCATTTCCCTCTATGTGTCTCCATTAGTTTAAGACTTAACATGCCACCACAAACAAATGGGGAGAGAAGCCTAGGAGCTATCTTTAGATGATTCTATTATAAACTCTGATTCTTCAAATATCAAATATATTCTTAAAAACTGGGGGAAAATAGATAATTAAAGAGAGTGAAATATTCTTGGGCGGATTATGCTTACCCCTTCATGAATTGGTGACATAAACCTTTGAAAGGTATATTAAAAACTAATCAGAGAATCTTTTAGTATTTGAGAGAAAACACACAGTGTGGATCAGCAATGAAGGGATCTAAGAAGCAGGGGAGTCTTTTTGGAGCTCTAAAGGAGGAGCCTTGCAAATGATGACTAGTTGATAAGTGAGAAAATTTAGAGAAATTGGGAATCTGGAGTAAAACCTCTCAGCTGACGAACAATGGCTGTGGCCTTAATAGAATGTCTCTATTGCTTGAACCAAGGCTCATTTGGCAAAAATAGATAAATTCTTGAAGAACCTGAGTGGATGTGTTTTCTCAGGAGTCCACTGTTCCTATGTATAGTCTCCTAGAAGGCACAAAAAGTTCCTTGAAGTAGCCCCGCACTGAAGAGAGGGTGCATAGGACCCAAAACAGGCATCACTGTGCTTGTAGCTACAGCCCCATCCCCAGGGACACCACGTGCGCAGTACATGCTGTACATTACTCTTCTCAAGAAGGCGGCATTCAGGATTTAGTCCACATGAATGACACCTCCTTGTGAAGGGCACTGCACGCTGAATGGCTGAATGTGGCATCCCAGACCGAATGCTCCCCATTCATGCAGCTTTTATTCAAGTCCATATAAGTGTATGACTTCGCATGGCCACCAAGACTTATGCCAAGAAACTTTGCAGCTTCTAGCCCCCAGCACTTACCTTTACATCCTGCCTTCAGTGAGATGTTACCATGCAGATATTGGTTTTCTTTTGTTGCAATCCCGGCCTCTCAGGGAGCTGATGCAGGAGATTCCCTTGAACCTGAAAGGCATATTTCAGTGAGTGGAGATTGGGCCACTGTACTCCAGCCTGAATTTCAAAGTGAGACCCTCTCTCAAAAACACAAAAACAAAGTCAAACAAAAAAAATTAAATTAGTGGATAAGGAGAAAGGACCAACCACTCAGCAAAGTTTTCTGTTGTACTAAAACTCCAGCTGTGATGCACAGACCTAAATTCCAATGGAAAAACTACAGAATACCACCACCTGGATGCAAAGAAGTGGAGAAGAGTCAGAGGGTACCAGGTTGGAGAGAGCAGAAATTTCATTTATTTCTCAGGCTATGGAGTTCCAAGGACCCATAGAAATTAATACAAGATAAAATCAAGACAGATAATCAGCTGGAAGACAATAAATGCTATTTTATTTCTGTGGTTATATATATTTCATTTATTTGGTCGGTCAGTCAGTCCGTCTCTCTCAATATATCTCTAGCTCTCTCATTCTCTTTGTGTGTATGTGTTATTAACAGGTAATAATAGCTCTAAGATTTTGTAGCTGTAAGATTTAGTGATCCATTAATATATTTTCTATCCTTTAACTTTTACCCAACTTTCACAAAGGTCTTCATTTTTAAAATGGGGTTGTTTTACAAAGTATAATGTTCTCTTGTATTTTTATGTAAAATTTGACAATTTTTCTTAACTGAAGCATTCAGATCAAGTATATTAGAATAATTTTATATACATGCATTTAAGTCAACTGGCTGTCTAGTTGTTTTCCATGTTTCATCCTTTTCTTATTCTTAATTTTCCTGTTTTTCTGCCTGATGGTGGATTTAGTATATTTATCATTCAGTTATATTTTCTCTACTCTTGACTTATTAGTTAGGTCACTTAAAAAACTGCTTGCTCTTGGGTTTACAAAGTTCATATTCAATTCATCATACCTGTCCTCAAAAAATATTATAGTAGTTTATGTACGTTTAAAACATCTTATTATATGCTTACATTTCACTACATTCTTTATCATATTGTTATTACTTTTATTAAAGTTGTAATCTCCACACACATATTTGTTTACAGTATGAATTATTAGTGACTGATCAATAAAATAAAAAAAAATGTCCTCTGTGTGGACCCCAAAAATTGGATACAGGTCTCAGGCAATTTAGAAAGGGTGAGGTTGCGCACCCATGACATGGCCTCAGGAGGTACTGGTGACATGTGCCCAAGGTGGTCCGAGCACAGCTTGGTTTTTATATTTTGGGAGACACCAGACATGGAGCAACATATGTAAGATCAACATTTCTTCAGTCTGGTCTGGAAAGGAGGGACAACTCGAAGCAAAAGTGGAACATCTCAAGGTAGATAGGAGGCTTCCAGGTCGCTGGTAGGTAAAAGACAAAAAATTTTATTCTTTTGAGTTACTGATTAACCCTTCCAAAGGAGGCAATCAGATACACATTTATCTCAGTGAGCAGAGGAATGATGATGAATAGATGGGGAGCCTGGTTTACCCTAAGCAGTTCCCACCCTGAATTTTCCCTTAACTTAGTAATTTGGGGGCCGAGATATTTCCCTTTCACATCCATATCTACGTCTTTACCATTTTCTAGGTTTGTAATTCGTTTGTGTAGATTCACGTTTCTGCCTGTGTTTTCTGCCCGAGAAAATGTGTTAACATGCCTGGTAATGCATTTCTACTGGGGTGAATAATCGAAATGTTATTTGTCTGAAAAAATTATCATGTCATGTTGTGTTTATTAGAGTGATAATTGTAAGCCCACTGATAGAAATATTTCTCTCTCAAAATAGTTTTCTATTTTCTAACATAACCATTTGTTACAGTTCCTGTCTCAGTGCTGAAATTCCTTATTTGCTCATCCGTGATGTCTACTTTTTCTAATAGTGATACGGGTTGCATCTGTGTTCCCACCCACATCTCACGTTGAATTGTAATCCCCAATGTTGGAGGTGGCGCCTGGTGGGAGGTGTTTGGATCATGGGAGTAGAATTCTCAGAAATGGTCTAGCACCACCACTGTGGTGCTATTCTCTTGGTAGTGAGTTCTCATGAAAAGTAGTTGTTAAACAGTGTGTAGCACCTCCCCCATCCCTTCATCCTCTTCTGGCCATGTGAGGAGCTAGGTCCTCCCTTGCCTCTTGGATGTTTGAAAGTTAAATGAGGCCCTCCTTGCCTGTACAGCATACAAAACCTGAGCCATTTACAGATACCTAAATATGTGGAACCAGCTTTTGCAATGGGCAGTAGGCAGAGGTTGAAAGAGTTTGGAGGGGTCATAGGAAGGCAGAAAGATGAAGGAAAAGTTGAAACTTCCTAAATACTTGTTTAATGGGTTGTCACTAGGTGGCTGATACTGATATGAACACTGAACACCAGGCTCAGGAGGTGTCAGATGGAAATGAGGAACTCACTGGGAAGTGGAGCAAAGGTCACCTTTGTTATAGATTAGCAAAACTCTGGTGGCATTGTGGCCCTGCCCTAGGGATTTGGGAACTTTGAACTTGAGAGTGATGGTTTCGTGTTTCTAGTAGAAGAAATTCCTAAGCAGCACAGCATTCAAGATGGAGCCTGGTTGCTTCTAATAGCCCATGCTCATGTGTGTCAACAACAACAACAACAACAACAAAATGATGAAAACTGGCACTTATATTTAAAAGGAAAGCACGGTGTAAAGGTTTTGAAAATTTGAGGCCTGGCAACAGAAAACAGAAAACAAAATCCTGTTTTTCGGGGAGGAATTCAAGCCACCTGAAGAAATCTGGTTAAGTAAGGAGGAGCTGAATGTGAATAGCCAAGACAATGGGGAAGCCTCAAAGGCATTTCAGAGACCTCTGCAGTAGCCCTCCACCCATCACAGGTCATAAAGCCTAAGAGGGGAGGATGTTTTCATGGGCCGCACCCAGGGCCCCAGTGCCCTGTGCAGTGTTTGGATACTGCTCTTGATATCCTGGCCTCTCCAGCGCCTCCAATACAGCTTTAGCCATTGGTTCATGAGGTGCAAACCATGATTCTTGTGGCTTCCACTTTGTGTTAAGCCTGTGGGTACCCAGAGAAAGAGTTGAGGCTTGGGAGCCTCAGCCTAGATTTCTGAGGATGTATGGAGAAGCATGGATGTCCAAGCAGAACCTTGCTGTGGGGTGGAGTCTTAATGGAGAATCTTGACTAGGGCAGTGCAGAGGGGAAATATGGGTTTAGAGCACCAACACAGAGTCCACACTGGAGAACTTCCCAGTGGGGTTGTGAGAAGAGGGCCACCATCCTCCAGACCCCAGAATAGGAGATCCACTTACAGCTTTTAATTGTGCCTGGAAAAGGCATAGGTACTCAGTGCCAGCCAACTGGGGACTGAACCCTGCAAAGTCACAGGGTTACAGCTGCCCAAGGCTTTGTGAGCCCACCACTTGCACCAGTGTGCCCTGGATGTGAAACATTGAATTGAAGGAGGTCATTTTGGAGCAATAAGATTCAATGACTTTCCTACTGGGTTTCAAACTTGCACAGGACCTTGAGCCCCTTTCTATTGGCTAATTTCTCCAGAGAATATGCCCAGTGCTTCTACCTCCATTGTATCTTAGAAGCAATTAACTTGTTTTTTATTTTATAGGCTGATAGGTAGAAGGGATTAGCATTGTTCAGATGAGATCTTGGATTTGGGACTTTTGCATTAATATTGCAATGAGTTGCGACTTTGGGGGACTGCTGGGTTGCATTTTGCAAAGTGAGAAGGACGTGAGATTTGGGAGGGGCAAGGGCAGAATTAGAAGGTTTGGATCTGTGTCCCTACCCAAATCTCAGGTTACATTGTAATCCTCAATGTTGGAGGTAGGGCCTGGTGGGAACTTATTGGATCATAGGGGTGGAATTCTGGTGGAATTAAATACTGGGACAAACCACTATTTAAAATCATATATTTTAGTAAATCTGAGAGAAAGTACTACAAAAGCCTTAGAAAACATTTAAAATGCTATAAAAGCAAATAAAATAACAGTCAGTAGAAAAATGTATGATAGAATGAAAGATGGCACTGAAAATTATGTTTCAGAATTATTTACTAGGCTACTCAATGTTTTTATAAAATATTCATGATTCATTATTTGAAATTGTTTATAAAAGAATGGTACAAAATTTTTGACCCCAACCTGAAACCTAAGTAGAAATACAGATAAATGTGTGGAAATATCTACATTTAAATCTTATCAAATACTATGTCCACATTGTGATCTTACTGGTATTATGGTATTATTTCATTACTGCTATTCATATGTTTCGTACCTTTTATGTATTTTCCAAATTCTTCTATAATACATAGGAATTAGGCTCTTAGTCAGAATAAGAGAGATATCAACAAAAATGTATTTTTATTTGTCAGAATTCTAAGATTAGAATAATGTGGAAAAGTGCAGAATTTGTCTTCAGCAGTTATATTTCCTCCTATGATCTCCCTGTCTATATAGAGTCAGCCTGTTCAGTTAGAGTTCTTGCCTTTACATGTTCCTGACCCCTAAGCATAATAAATGTTAATTTGTTTTAAATTATGAGGATAAACTAGACATTCACATGAACTGTGTGACAAAATTATACGATAGCAAGGAAGGTCCAGAATGAATACGTAACCATTAAACTAGGTTTATCCATCTGCTAGGCCCACAACGCAGATCAATACAGACTCACAACACGCTGACAGAACTGACATTTTATTAAAAAACACAGATGACTTTAAAAAGTGACTAGTAAACATCTTAGTGTACACAGGAGTACTAAATTATGTGTAGTTACTTATACTGGATATATGTTATTTATCACGTTAAATTACATGGCTTTTTAGTATTCTGTAGTTTGCCTTTTTTTCTGAGTGGTCTTATTTGAAGGCACATTTTAATTTTTTCAAAGTCTATCTTATCAACTTATATTTAATCAATTTTATATTTTGATACCATATATAATAATTTAATGGTCAAAAATATTTTCTCTTTTTTTTGCGTAAAATTTGATAGTTTGACATTTTGGCCTAAGGTTGTGTTAATTTCTGTATCTGGTTTGAAATATGGATCACCATTTATATTTTTCATATGAATTTCACATTTCCCAGCATCTTGTTGTTTAAATACTATTATCTTCATTAGATTGACTTACAGCTTAGCTAAAATGAATTGAATACATATATGGATATTTGTGGTTCTTCTATTCTATTTGGTCCATCCTTTCTTCAGAAGCACAGTACGTTGGCTAATCTAGTTACACAGTAAATATAGAAAATAGAAGCGTAAATTCTCCAACTTTGTGATTCTCTTTCAGATGGTTTTGCATATTCTAGTTTATTTGCCTTTTATATCAGCTTTAGAATCGTCATGCTAATATCTGCAAATGTTTTTCTGAGACATTGGTTGGAATTGTATGATCTCTATAGATCAATAGAACTTTATAAATCTATAGATTTGAATTCTTAAATACATATAGTACTCCTCTCCACTTAGTAATCATTTGATTTTTCTTAGTGTATTTACACTCTTAGCATATACACTCTTAGATGTTTTTGATTGTCTAATGATACTGTAACGTATTGCCACACACTTAGTTGTTTACAACAACACAAATTTACTCTATTAGAGTCCAAAGGTCAGAAATGTAAATTAGGTTTATCTTGACTAAAATTAAGGCCTTGGCACAGCTTTGTTCTTTCCTGTGGATCTAGAGGAGAATCTACTTGATTGTGTATTTTAGATTCTCGTTGCTTTCTCCATTCTTTGGCTCATGAACTTTATCTCCACCTCTAGTCAACCCTATATTATTTTCCAATGTTTCTTATTCTAACCACCTTGCTCCTACTTATTACGTTTCCTTGTGATTATGTTGGGCTCACCTAGATAATCCAGGATAATCCCAATCTGAAAATATATAATTTAATCATACCTGCTAATTTCTTTCTATGATAAAATGTGATATTTATGAGTTGAAGGGTTACTCTGTAAACACTGTTTGTGGGGGACGGGGTAACTGTATTCTGCCTACCACAGAGATCTTGTAATTTTTCAACAGAGTTTCACCTAAGTATTTTATGCTTATATTATTTTATGTTTCACTTAGCTAATTTAATCATTGCATAATGTATACATATACAAATCCTCTTGTGGTACACCTTGAATATACACAATTTTTATATCATTTAAACCTTAATAAATGTGAAGAAAAAAGGCTGAATGATACAAAAGAGTATTTCCCTGAAGGAAATACCATATATACCAGTGAATATCCTACTCTTTTGGAGAAATCATAAAAGAGATATGATAACAACTAAATTCTTACTTTTTTTTCATTTTAGGATATCACTTAAAGGTATATAAGTAAACATGCATTCACTAAGAAACAGTTTTAAAAATTATATACTAAAAAGAGTTATCACTCTGGAAAATTCTATGTATGTACAGTATTTCCAACTGACAAATTTTTTTTTTACTGTTCAAAATGCTGCCCTCCCCTCCAAAAAACAATATTCTATGTATTCTATTAGTACAGTTGTTTTCATCTTGGAAAGAATACTTCAGCTGACTGTTTTTTTTACTTAGAGACGTTAATTGTCTTATACATATTCATACATTCTGAATCTAACAAAAAAAATGGACTAAAATCCTGCCTGCAACTAAACAGTAATTGTTTTTTATAGTTTCTCCCTTTTGGTGTATATGCTGTAGCCTCTATTTCAGCTGGAATTGAAATTGTATTAAAAACTTACTATTTATAGCTTTTTTACACATTTCCACATTATAAGTAGATTGGTTATAACCTACTTCCCAAACATGAATACTACTTTCGTGCGGCAGATGGCCTCACACAGTCTGGCCCTTGTCTTTCTCTTCCTTGCACACGCTCTCCCTCTCTCAACTATGCCTTCTCTCTCTCTCTCTCTCTCTCTTTCTGTGTGTGTGTGTGTGTATCTGTATGTGTGTATTTCCCTATATCTTGCTCAATTAGATTAAGAGTTAAGAAGTGTCCCCACAAGCAAATGCAGAAAAAAGTCTAGGAGATACCTCTTGAGTATCAACTCTATCATACATTTCCAGTCTTAAAACATATTCTTTTAAAAAGGAGAAAAACAGGTAATGAAAAAGAGTGAAATATTCCTGGGTGGACTATGGTCAACCCTTTAATTACTTGGTGATGTACAACTTTGAATGGATTTTAAAAGTCAATCAGAAAATCTTTTAGTCTTTTAGAGAGAAAGGACCCTGTGGATCATCAATGAAAGTACCTAAGAGGGTGGAAAGTCTTTCAGTAGCCCTAAAGGAGGAGCCTTGCAAATGATGACTAGTTGATAGGTGAGAAAAGTTTAGAGAATTTGGGCATCTGGAGTAAAACCTCTCAGGTGACGAACAATGGCTGTGGCCGCTATATAGTGTCTTTCTCATTGGAGCCAAGCCTCATTTGGCAAAAATAGAAAAATTCTTGAACCTGAGTGGATCTGTTTTCTCAGGAGTCCACTGTTCCTATATATAGTCTCCTACAAGGCACAAAACGTTCCTTGAAGTAGCCCCGCACTGAAGAGAGGGTGCACAGGACCCAAAACGGGCATCACTGTGCTTGCAGCTACAGCCCCATCCCCAGGGACACCACATGTGCAGTACAGGCTGTACATTACTCTTCTCAAGAAGGCGACATTCATGATTTAGTCCACATGAATGACACCTCCCTGCGAAGGGCACTGCACGCTGGATGGCTGGATGTGGCATCCCAGACCGAATGCTCCCCATTCATGGAGTTTTCATTCAAGTCCCTATAGGTGTATGCCTTTGCATGGCCACCAAAATGTATGCCGAGAAACTATGCAGCTTCTAGCCCCAGCACTCACCTTTACATCCTGCCCTCGGTGAGATGTGAACATGCAGATTTTGGTTTGTTTTGTTTTGTTGTAATCCTGGCCACTGAGGCAGCTGACTCAGGAGACTCCCTTGAATCTGGGAGGCCTATGTTTCAGTGAGCGGAGATTGCACCACTGTATTCCAGCCTGAAATTCACAGGGAGACCCTGTCTCTAAGAAACAAAAGTTCAAACAAAATCAAACAAAAAAGTATTTAAATTTCTGGTTAAGTAGAAAGAACCAAGCACTCAGCAACGCTTTCTGTTATCCTAAAACTCCAGCTGTGATGCACAGACCTAAATTCCAATGGCAAAATCACACAAAACAACCACCTGGATGGAAAGAAGTGGAGAAGAGTCAGAGGGTACCAGGTTGGAGAGAGCAGATATTTCATTTATTTCTCAGGCTATGGAGCTACATGACACATAGACATTAATACCAGAGAAAATTAAGACAGATAAACAGCAGGAAGACAAGAAATGCCATTTTATTTCTCTTACCAACATGGTTCTTTATACTTCATTCACTTGTGCTCTCTGGCTCTCTTGCTTGCTCTCTCTCTGTCTCTGTGTTATTAACAATTAATAATAGCTGTAAGATTTTGTAGCTGTAAGATTTAGTGATTACATTAATATATTTTTGATACTTTAAATGAACTTTCACGTAGGTCTTCATATTTAAAATGGGTTTTAGAAAGTACTGTTTTGCATTTTTATGTAATTTGACAATTTGTCTTAATTGAAGCATTTAAATCATATATATTAATATAATTTTTTATATACATGCAGTAAGTTTACTGGCTTTCTACTTGTTTTCTGTGTTTCATCCTTATTCCTACTTTTCCTGTTTTTCTGCCTGATGGTGGATTTAGTATTTTTATCATTCAGTTATATTTTCTCAACTCTTGGCTTATTAGTTAGGTCACTTATTCCAGGGTTTCTCCTATGCTAGGACTACAACAGGGCTCAGAACAGACTCAAAACATGCTCATAGAACTGACGTTTTATTAAAAACACATAAGTTTTAAAAAGCAACTAGTAAAATTCTTAGTATACACAGGAGTACTCAATTATATGTAGTTATTTATGCTGGAAATATGTTATGTATCACAATATTAAA